CTCCGCGGTGCCGGCCGAGCCCGGCAGCCGGGAGACCGGGCGAGAGCCTCGGAAAAGTTGCAACACCTGGATCGCTTCCCCGTTCACGGCCAGCCGGTGGGTGGCGAGCGAAGAGCGGGCGCGGCGCGGGCGGCGCGGGCCGGAAAGTTGCGCGGGCGCTGCGGCGGGCGCTGCGGATCCTACCTGTATTGTTCGCGAGTCTGGGCAGCGCAGGGCACGACGCGCGGCTCGGGCTCCCAGCCTCGCGCTAGCTGCCTCCACGAGAGCCGCCTGATTGGCCAGCGGGCTCCGCCGTTTAAAACAGCCTCCTCGCCCAACGATTGGCTGCGGGCCTCATGCATATTAAGCAGGCGCGCGCGCCCATTGGGCGCGGCTACTGGGCTCATTCATTCGAACAGAACGACCCGCGGGCGCCAGCGGCGGAGGCAAGGGGAGAATGACAATGTCGCGCTCTGCCCGCCACTGCGAGGCCCTCCCTGAGCTGACCCCGATCTCGGAGGACTCCGAGCGTCGCCCCGAGACTCCCTCAGGCCTCGGCCTCTGGCGCGGATAAGCGAGGTCAGGCTGCCCACGCTGCGCTCTGCTCCCGCCGCGCCTCGGCCCTGCACCCCCCGGCCCTGGCCCCTGGCCCGCAGTCGGGGCCCCTGGCCCGCACTCGGTGCCCCTGGCCCTGGAGCCTCCAGGGCCGACCGTGGGGCCCGCTGTCCCCACCTCCACCCGAGGCCCAGCGGGAAGCCCCGCACACCAGCCGCCCCAGCCTGGCTCTGCTGCCTGGCTGCCCGACTGCCCCCACCCCCGCAAGACAGGGACCTGACCCCGCTGCTGCAGGTAGCGCACCACCGGTGGGCGGGCTGCAAAGGAAAAGAGGACCTGGCAGAGCCACACATGTGACAAGTGTGGCTGTGAAGGCAGGGGCTGCGGGTGTTCACTTGCCACTGTCCTCCTCAGCACTTCCCCTGGTGAGGGATAAACGTCCTTGGGTGAAAGAAGCAATGGGCTCCGACGAGCCCTGCACTTAGCCACGGCCGGTGGAGAAGTCCTGAGTGATGCTTGTCAAAGTGTGGGAGAGCACCGTCACCCACTAAGGGAGGTACGAAGTGCGTGAGGATTTGGGGTGCCCAGTGACCAGCAGGTGTTGCTAGAATCTGAGAAGAGGAAGAGATGACTACGGGCCCTGGCTGGAATGAGGCATTTCGCCTTAAATGCCAGCATCAGTTTTGTTGGTTTGAAAACTATCTAAGGGGCTCTTTGGGGTACCAGGAACTTCCTGGATAGGATGGAAGAAAAAGGAAGAGCAGCGGCCAGGCATGATGGGGCAGGCCTGTCATCCCACACTGGAGAGGCTGAGGCAGGAGAATCGCCACAAGTTCCGGTCCAGCCTGGACTACATAGGGAGACCCTGTTTCAAAAAAGAAGAGGATCGTAAAGGTTGAGATTTGAAAGAAATACTGTGGAGGACAAGGCGGCCTGAGTTTGAGGTTTTTCTCCTTTGCAAGAGGCCTAGCTATTCACAGTGCTGCAGCCAGGGCAGCAGTTCCTGCCCCTGGGTCTGCTGAGGCTTCAATGAGGGACCCATCCAGGCACTGGTCCCCAGACTCAACAGCTAAGGGATGGGCAACCCCAGCCCCTGTCTGGCCCTGTGACCCCCATTGGGAGCAGCTGAGCAGTTGCCTGCCTTCTGCTTGCTCACCCCCTCGACAGGGAGCTCACTACCTCCCACTGAGCTGTCCCTCCATGCCTGTCACCTCCGAGCTGGGGGTCACCAGCCTACTACTCACCCTTCAGCGAGTTCACAGCAGGCCAGGCGCTGGCTCCAAGCAGTCCCTCCACCAAACTCTAGGACCCCACAGTCCCAGCCCGCCCTATCCCCGTCCGTGTGCCCACGTCATCAAAGCCAGAGGACAGCAGTTTCCACTGGCAACTTCCCTCCCCTCTGCCCAGGTTCCTGAGCCCCTCAAGGTCACCAGGCCTTTGTAGGCCACAATGTGACCTGGAGTCGCCCACCCACACCGTCCTCTTTGGGTGACATACTGTGGATCCGCAGGGGCGTCCTCTTGTACCAAGGGAGCGGGTTTAGCTCCATCTCAGCTCCGGGCGAAGCTCCTCTTCCTGTGAGTCTGCCCTGCCTGAGGCTTTAAGCGGAGGCCGGGCGTCACCGGAACATCACAGTGCTGGACTATGATGTCACTGAACTCTCAGGCCCCAGGTGGTTGCCATGGTTCTCTAAAAGGCACACCCACCCCACCCAGCTCCCTGATGCCCCTGAGTGTTCCCTGTGTCCCTGGAGACTCTGCATAGAGGTGCCTCATAGTCTGAGCCCTTGGCCAGAGCCCCAGGGCAGCCTGTGGCCCATGGGTTTAGACCTCACTGGGATGGGACCAAGCCAGGCACAGTGCCCACACCCATAATCCCAGCACTGGGGAGGCCGAGGCAGGAAGATCGCCAAGAGATCAAGGGTGGCCTGAACTACACAGTGACACCCTGTCTCAAAACAATATATAATCAAATAAATAAAGGGCTGGGGAATGTGGCTTACTGGTAGGGCACTAGCCAGCTTGTGAGAAACCTGGGTTTAATTCCAGCTCCACAAAAAGAAAAAAAGATCTATGGAAGTATGGTCAGAGGGGCTAGGGAGAGGCAGGGCTGGGTTGGGATGGGATCACTGGACCCTATAAAATAAGTGTCACGCAGCTGTGATCCCAGCATCCAGGAAGCTGAAGCAGGAGGATCAGTTCTAGTTCAAGGCCAGCCTGTGTTACATAGTGTGTTGAAGGCCAGCCTGGACTACATCACAAGACCCTGTGTCAAATAAAATAAAATAATAAAATAAAATAAAATGTTAAGAGAAACTGGGCGCGGTGGTGCACAGCTGCAGTCTCAGCATTGTGAGGGGCTGAGGCAGGAGGATTGCCCAGCCTGGGCAATGTAGCAGTTTAGACAGACCACCACCTCAAACTAAAAGCATTATTAATGGAGGATAGCTCAGTGAGAAAGCCTTGGCTTCAGTCCCGGGTGCCACAGGGAGCTTGTTGTGAGCCCTGCCCACGAAGCACGTTTCAGAATGGGCTAGGGAGCCTTTGTGATTCTGCCCGGGTAGATAAGGTGTCTTTGACTGACCTTCCCTCCCGGGCTCCTCCCTGCTCCCCTTCACTCCCCCAGCCCTGCCAGGTGCCTCCCAGCTGCTCCATGCCCCCCGCAGAGACCTGGGGTGCCATCCCTCCCCCCCCGGGGGGCACTAAGCTTTAAGAGTTACCATTTCTTTCCTCATTCCTGTGTGCCAGGCTTGACTATGTAGCTCAGCTGCACCACCCGGAAGTCCTTGCAACCCTGCAGCCCAGCCTCCCGGGGTACCCAGCACCCACCGGCTGGTAGATGTGCCCAAGTCCTCACAAGGGTCAGTAGCAAAGCCAGCTCCTCGGGAAGCCAGGTCTCTTGAGACTTACTGCCATATGAATACTACTGTTTTTTTCCCTTTGCTTTACTGAGAACTGAACTCAAGGCCTTCGCACTGAGCTACATCCCTGGCCCTTCTTTATTTTTTATTTTGAGACACAGTCTTGTTAAATTGCATAGTTGTCCGGGCTGGGCTTGTATTTGAGATCTTGCTGCCTCAGCCTGCCAGAGTGCTGGGATGGCAGACACTCATAAGAGCTCAGCTCCACCATGGCTACAGTGGCCTTTGGCTTGCAGGCAGGAGTGGCCAGCACCCTTGGGAGGGGTTCCTAGCTCCAGACAGATGAGGGTTTCTGGGATGTGACACTCTGGGTCCCCACCAAGCATGGGGGTGCAGGTCTATGGCTTGGCCTCGCCTGCCTCCCAGTTGGCTAGAAATGGTCCCTTCCCAGGAATCCAGCTGCCCCGGAGGGAGGGACCTGGAGTCGTTTGGCATGACACAGGCCTACCTTTTCCTTTGTTCCTTTTTGTTTTGGGGTTTGGGGGTTTGTTTGGGGGGGTGGAATTTGTTGTTTTGTTTTGTTTTGTTTTGGTCTTCTTGAGACAGGGTCTCACGATGCAGTTCAGGCTGGTTTTGAGCTCACTTTGTGTAGCCTAGGTTGGCCTCGAACTCACAATGATCTTCCTGCCTCAGTCTCCGGAGTGCTGGGATTACAGGGCTGTGCCACCACTGTTTTTTTGAGACAGGATTGCACTTGGCAATTCAGGCTGGCCTGGAACTCATACTGTAGCTCAGGCTGGTCCCAAACCCGCAGCAGTGCTCTTGCCTCAGCCTCCGGGTGCTGGGATTACAGGCGTGCGCCACCACGCCCAGCTCTGAAGCATTCTTGTTACGGTTGTTGGGTTTTTATTTTTGGTTCCCTGTCTTTTCCTAGCCCCACCTCCCTGGGTGGGCACCCAGTCCTCATCTGCCAAACCTGGGGCTGAGGTGGGGAAGGGAGGGAAAATGAAGGGTTGCCGACCTTCTGCCCCAGGTCCTGGGGAGCTCAGCAGTGGGGTCACTTCTGCTGACAGCCCTGCCCTGGCCAGCTCTGCCTTGCTGCCGGGCGACGCTGGCAACTCGCTGTGGCGCTGTGACACTGTGACTGCTGCAGCGGTGGCCCAGCTCGGCCTGGCTGCGGAGCTCACGGGCCAGCTCCCAGCTGTCCCCTTTCAGGCAGAGCACAAGCTGTTTCCTTTGTCAACCACAGGGATTTCTGTGGCGGAGGCTGGCGGCAGGGACTGGCGCTCTCTATGCTCTACGTGGGTTCCAGTTGCCCATTAAAAATGCTCCTAGGCAGCAGGCTTGGTGAGGAACACCTGTCATCCCAGAACTGGGGAGGCTGAGGCAGGAGGATTGCTGTGAGTTTGAGGCCAGCCTGGGTCCATAGTGAGTTCAAGGCCAGCCTGTCTGAGAAAAACAAAGCAAAATGAAGGTTCCTGGGGCGAGGGGTGCAGCCCAGGGATGCACACCTGCCTAGCGAATGCAAGGCCTGGCTTCCGTCCCCAGCACTGCAAAGAAAAGCGCTTCTCGCATCCTGGCCTGCTTCTCATGAGGGAGCAGGGGGAGGTCTCCGGGGTCCCTCACAACAACAGCACCCTTAGGATTGGGGGGGCTCCACAAAGGGAGCCGAGGGTCCTCCTCCTCCCTCTCCTTCCCTCTCCTTCCTCCTTTTCTCAGGTTTGGGGCTTAAACCCAGGGTCTTTACCCTGGGCCACATCCCCAGCACATTGTTAAAATGT